GAGCAATTGAATTGAGTTCCATTATCAGCCACAATCTGATTTGGGATCCCATATCTGCAGATGATCGAGCTGAAAACAAAATCTTCGACCTTCTTAGAGGTAAGACTAGATAAAGGCCGAGCTTCAACCCACTTTGTAAAATAATCTACACCAACAACCAGATGGGTTACACCACCAACCCCTTTCACGAATGGGCCTAAAAGATCCAGTCCCCACTGAGCAAATGGCCACGGTGCTACCATGTTCGTGAGCTCTTCTGCTGGTTGGTGAGTCAGATGTGCGAAGAATTGACATTTCGAGCATTTCTGAACAAAGTAAGTGGCATCTTTGTACATGTTTGGCTAGTAGTATCCTTGTCTTAAGACTTTGTGAGCCAGAGTCCTAGCACCGACATGGCTCCCACAGACACCCTCATGCACCTCTCGAAGTGCATATTCAGTTTCGTAGGGGTTTAAACACCGTAGAAGAGGAAGTGAGAAAGATCTCTTATATAGGACCCCATCAACGAGTGTATACCGAGATGCTTTCTTCCTCAATTTCATTGCCTCCTGCCTGTCCTCAGGTACTATTCCATCTCGTAAAAAGGAGACAATCGAGTCAGTCCAGCTAGGCGTGTCAGGGTTTGTGCTAATTTCCATCACCCGAGGCTTCGTGAAGCTTGGTTCATCTAAGACCTCTACAAAAACGTATCTGGACCTTAAAGAGCTATCAGAGGCAAACTTAGAGAGTGAATCTGCCTGTTCATTCTCAGCTCGGGGGATTTTACTCAGACAGAATTTCTGGAATTTGCACTTCAGCTCGGCCACCAAGGCTACATACTTCATCATCACAGGATCAACGACTTCGTAAATAGAGTTGATTTGGTTCACCACCAGCTGGGAGTCACTGTACACTTGAATTGCACTGATTTTCAACTCTAATGCTAGTTGTAGGCCAAGTAGTAGAGCTTCATACTCAGCCATATTATTTGTCGCATCAAAGTTGAACTTCAAAGCATGTTCGCTTTGATAACCGTCTGGACCAATCAAGAGAGCACCAGCCCCTGAACCCTTGCTACTAGATGCTCTGTCAACATATAAAGTCCAGTCGTTAGGTTCTAGATTAGAGGTTGAAGGACATGGAGTGCATTCAACAATAAAATCTGCTAATGCTTGAGCTCGGATGGCCGATCTCTGCTGAAACGTGAGCTCAAACTCCCCCAGTTCTACTGCCCACTTAATTAATCTTCCAGAGCACTCTGGTTTCTGCAAAATCTGCGGGAGAGGTTTATCTGTGAGAACGATAATTGGGTGTGACTGGAAATATGGCCTCAACTTCCTAGCCGAAGTTACAACTGCTAAAGCTGCTTTCTCCGCTATAGGATATCTCAGCTCTGCTCCATGTAATACACTGCTGAAATAATAGATTGGTTTTTGTTTCTTGGTTTCTTCTCTCACCAGAACTGAACTAATGGCCTCATCTGAAATTCCCAGGTACAAATAAAGAATCTCTCCATCTACAGCCTTAGTCAACAGAGGTGGTGAGCTAAGATAAGACTTCAGCTCTTCAAATGCAGTTTGGCATTCCTAAGTCCATTCAAATTTCTTCTGTTTTCCTGATTCATCCTTCTGGGCGGCTGACCTCATAATTTTGAAAAATGGCAAGCACTTATCCGCTGACCTCGAGATAAACCGATGCAGAGCTGCCACCCTTCTAGTCAACCTCTGTATATCTTTCATTGACTTCGGCGGTTCCATCTCGGCAATTGCTCTGATCTTCTCTGGATTGACCTCAATTCCTCTTCGGGACACCATGAAACCTAGAAACTTTCCAGACTCCACGCCGAAAATGCATTTGGCTGGGTTTAACCGCATCCGGTTCTTTTTGAGGTTGTTAAAGGTTTCATCGAGGTCGGCTAGATGGTTTTCTACTTTCAGACTCTTTACTACGATGTCATCCACGTACACCTCCAGATTCTTGGCGATCTGAGCTCGGAAGACTATGGTCACCATTTTCTGGTAAGTAGCACCTGCATTCTTTCAGCCGAACGGCATCATGACATAACAATAAATTTCATCGCCCGCATAGAACGAGGTCTTCTCTTCGTCTTCGGGAGCCATCGGCACCTGGTGATACCCAGAATATGCATCTAAGAGGCTTAACCTCTCATTGCCTGAAGCCGCTTCAACTAATTTGTCAATGCTCGGCATCGGATAGCAATCCTTGGGGCAGGCGTGGTTAAGGTTTGTATAATCAATGCACATTTGCCATTTACCATTTGCCTTCTTCACCAGGACTGGGTTAGCCACCCATTCGCAGTAATCAACTTTCCGGACAAAATCAGCTTGTAGGAGTTTCTCTACCTCTTTTTTAATAGCCTGAAGCCTCTCCCCCCCGAAGAGACGCCGCTTCTGGGCCACTGGTTTCTTCAATGGGTTGGTATCGAGCTTATGTTGACATACTGAAGTTGGAATTCCTGGCATATCTGCCAAAGTCCATGCAAATACATCATTGTTAGCTCGGAGAAAAGCTATCAGTTCTGCTCTCTCCTCCGGGTTCAATCTAGTTTCCATCTGCGTCTTTCGGCTCGGATCTCTGTCATCAACGAGCACTTCTTCAACATCTTCGACCGGAGCAGCTCTGGTTTCATCTTCCGGTCGATTATCGACGATCTCTACACCCATAACCTACTGATTATCAGGAATTCGCTGGGGAATGACCTCGGGTGTCTTATCTTTGCCCTTCGTTGGTTGTGTTACCGAGGTGATATAACAGTGTCTGGCCACCTCCTAATTTCCTCGCAGTGTTGCTATTCCCATAGGAGTGGGGAATTTCATGCAGAGGTGAGATTGGGAAACCACAGCTCGGATTTCAGTCAATGTGGGTCGGCCAATAACAATGTTGAAAGAATAGGCCATCTTGACGACGAGGAACCGGACTGAAAGGGCTACATAAGTCCGACCACTCCCAAAAGCCACATGGAGGGTAAGAACTCCTTCTACCGGAATAGGTTGGTTGTTGAAACCATAGATAGGACCATCATACTTCTGCAACAATGCTGGATCTAATCCCATACTCTCGAAACAGTGGAAATACATGATGTCTGGTGCACTCTTGGTGTCAATAAGGACACGCTGTACTTCACAGTTATTGATCATGACAGAAGTGACCAGAGGATCATTGTGGGGTGTAACAACTGTGTCGAGGTCAGCAGATGTGAAAGTAATGGGTTGATTCTTCCATTCAGCATCGTCAATCTTCCGCTTCTGAGCTCGGTTTTGATGTTTAACCTCTCTAACATACAGCTTTCGCTGCTTAGAGCTCAATCCACCTACTTCAAGG